CACATTGGCCTCTTCTGCAGAGTAAACGACCCTTGCTTGTATTCTCCGTATAGATAATGCGTCCGTAACCCCCTTTTACCTGTTTGCACACCTGTGGAGTTTTCAAGCTTTGTGTGGACAGAACTGCATTGCATCTCCCTGTGTACATCTATATGTATGTTTTCAGCATTGTACTTACGATGTATTTGTGGACAAAATGTACAATTCCATTGTCTTGTCTTACAATATCAGCATTGCTAGTGAAGCGAGGTGACTATTTAAAGGTTCGATAAGTCTACAGACTTCCCTGAAGAGATGAATCTGGAGACTGTTAGGCCATGCAGTAGGGATCACGTCACCAAAATGCCCGGGCTTCGGGTCACATAACTAGGAAAGAAGGGAGCCTAGAGCAACGTTCTCTCCGGCCTTACTGATATTTCTTTATCTAGACTGTAGGGGCCCATTCGCACCTTGGCGTCATGGCGCGTTACGTTTAAGCACGCACGTTAACACGCCTTTGTTTGCATGAAGGCAGGCCTTTCAAATAAATGCAGTAAATGTAGGCATCGAAGCACCGCACCAACTAAAATAGTCCAGATACAACTTTATTCCATTAGGGTCATGGAACATTCAAGTAGAGTAGCCAATGCGTTTCAGGGGTCCAAAACACCCCCTCCATTCATCAGGGCCTAATGAGAGAAATCATGTATGTGGACTACAGTTTGAAAGTTGTATTGAGCTATGATGGGAGTACTTCAGGCTGGTCAGCAGCTGGTTTGGTCTCCTTTTCAAATGTATGGGCTGGCAAGGCACCAAAACCTCCAAAACAGCAAATCTGCACCATTTTTGGCAACGCAGCGCAACCACTACACATGCGCTAGAAAAACATGGAGGCTGCCATTGACAGTCACTGTCCTGGAACACAAGCATGCAGATCTGGAATTTTTACTTGCTGCATGCTTGTTCTGAGTCTGTGAATGAAGAAGTACAGAAGCCAGAGACAGCCAGGCAACCTCATAGTGAGACCCGCCGTGGCACCCCACCTTATTACCCTAATATCAGGTATACTTTGAGGGGAATTGATCAAAACTGGAGCAGATGTGCACGGCAACCAATCAGCTTCTCTCTTCAGTTTGTTCAGTTAAAATTTGAAAATGAAAGAGAGAAGCTGATTGGTTGCCATGCACAGCTGCTCCAGATTTTGTCCGCTCCAGCTGTGATAAATTCCGCCCAGTGTGCTTCAGTGACTGTCATTCCGACCATTTCCGCTGTACAGCATGGGCCAGCTTTGTAGAAGTGGCTCAGATGTAGAACTTCCACATCTAGGGATGTAGGGATTTTAGCCATGTGCAGCTGTTTTTTTTGGGGTTTTTTCGGGCCATGTACGGCCCTCTTAGCACTTCCTCGTGTCTCTCAGCCAGTTTAAGATTTTTTTTTTGTGATGCTCCAGATGGTTCTGACGACAATTCTTTGCATACATTCGCAGCTTGATGCTTCAGAAAACGCTTTCTGGCACCTTAATCGTGGATACGCGTTTGGCTTATCACGTAACTGAGTTTATTTCAGCAGCCATAGAGCAAAGATGTCGATTGCACTAGCCAATAATAGTATCATCCTCAAGTCTTGATGTGAAATACAATTAGAATCAAGTGGCAAAGCAGGCACGTAGAAAGTCTCATTAATACGACTTCCGTTGGTTATAATAAATTATCTTTTGGTTTCCCTTTAATCCCTCCCGAGCAGATCACTAATAAACAATGTGACAGAAGTCTCGGCACAGGAGCGGCCTGAACTCAAGCTTGAGCCAACCTGGAGGGTTTTCCATTATCTCTAAATGTGTACTTGTTACTGTGCCACGAAGCCAATTACGGGGCTGAGAGAAGTGCTTCCCTACAGATGTGCGCACTTAGCTTTTGTCTAAAGAGTGTTAAAAACAAAACGCAAAGAGGAAATTCTGTTTACGCATTGCTCCTGACTTTTACATCTCGACTTGAAAAGGAAACCCGAAAGAAGTTCCCTTTTAAAGTGTCTCTAAAGCCCGAAGGATTAGAGGAGCTTTGATTCACATTGTTACCCTGGAGGAACCCTGGAAAAAGAAATGTCAGGTCCTGGGGATCCCCCCGAGAATAATTTCCTGATCTGCAGCTCTGGGTACAATCACGTGACCAGAGCGTTGTAGATTGAAGGAATAAAATAACGAAATTCAGTTCAGAACCCACCAACCAATTAGAAACTGGCTTTCACATTCACCAACCCAGCGACTCTCAACCTGTTTTCGAATCATGCCACCCTTTAAAATTTTGAGGCACCCTAGTCTAAAATGTATCACATGTAAAACAAAACTAAATGGGGTTCCACTCCCAAGTCCATACTAGAGCTTTATCCTAGATAGAGGTCTGGTATGGATTTTAAGGGGGACCCCACACAAAAAAAAGACATGGGGTTCACACCAGGACCCCTACTTTCACAACAGGACCCCTTTTCACATCTGATCCCCCTCTTCTAGATGAGGACTTCCTTTAACATCAGTGTCCCCCCCTTTTGCATCAAAGTCAACAGGAGCCCCCTTCACATCATAGTCCCCTTCTCAGGAGCTCCCCTTTCACATCAGAGTTTTCATTTAAATCAAAGTCCCCATTTACATGAGAGTCCCCCCCTTTCACATCTGGAACCCCTTCACATCAGAGATATGCCCCCTTCACATCAGAGATATGCCCCCTTCACATCAGAGTCACCCCCTTTCACATCAGTTTTCATTTAAATCAAAGTCCCCATTTACATGAGAGTCCCCCCCTTTCAAATCAGAGCCCCCCTTCACATCAGAGATGTGCCCCCTTCACATCAGAGATGTGCCCCCTTCACATCAGAGATGTGCCCCCTTCACATCAGAGATGTGCCCCCTTCACATCAGAGATGTGCCCCCTTCACATCAGAGATGTGCCCCCTTCACATCAGAGATGTGCCCCCTTCACATCAGAGATGTGCCCCCTTCACATCAGAGATGTGCCCCCTTCACATCAGAGATGTGCCCCCTTCACATCAGAGATGTGCCCCCTTCACATCAGAGATGTGCCCCCTTCACATCAGAGATGTGCCCCCTTCACATCAGAGATGTGCCCCCTTCACATCAGAGATGTGCCCCCTTCACATCAGAGATGTGCCCCCTTCACATCAGAGATGTGCCCCCTTCACATCAGAGATGTGCCCCCTTCACATCAGAGATGTGCCCCCTTCACATCAGAGATGTGCCCCCTTCACATCAGAGATGTGCCCCCTTCACATCAGAGATGTGCCCCCTTCACATCAGAGATGTGCCCCCTTCACATCAGAGATGTGCCCCCTTCACATCAGAGATGTGCCCCCTTCACATCAGAGATGTGCCCCCTTCACATCAGAGATGTGCCCCCTTCACATCAGAGATGTGCCCCCTTCACATCAGAGATGTGCCCCCTTCACATCAGAGATGTGCCCCCTTCACATCAGAGATGTGCCCCCTTCACATCAGAGATGTGCCCCCTTCACATCAGAGATGTGCCCCCTTCACATCAGAGATGTGCCCCCTTCACATCAGAGATGTGCCCCCTTCACATCAGAGATGTGCCCCCTTCACATCAGAGATGTGCCCCCTTCACATCAGAGATGTGCCCCCTTCACATCAGAGATGTGCCCCCTTCACATCAGAGATCCCCCTTCATATCAGGTGCCCCCTAAGATCAGAGTCCCTCAGTTTCATATCAAAATCATCCCCTTTCACATCAGAGCCCCCTTCACATCATACCTTACAATTGACACCATAGCATGGCTGTGGCAGCATGCTGCAGACTTCTGTCGCCCGCTAAATGTTGGGAGACGTCTTTGATGACGCCTGCCCTGGATCAACATCATACATTTCCATGGTGCTAGCGGCCTGTTGCATTGGTTGTGGGGGAAAACACTATCAGTTAATTTTCTCCAATTTTCGCATTAAAGTATGTTTCAGATCTGGTTTTGTGAGATAACCGGACACAGCAGTCACAGAAGTACTGAAATACAAATTCCTCAACCATGTTGGACTTTGTGAAGATAACCAATCAAAGGGGACATGCTGGAGAGAGAGAGATAAATATCTGCGTGAAGGAAAAACATGGTAGTGTTCTGTGTATGCAAAAAACATTAGCCCATGGTGTCAAAGAGCAAGTGATGATTGGTAGAAGGAGAACTTTCCACTGCTGAATGACGGTAGTTCATTTTTGCCTTCTATTGCATATACTGCCTGGAGGAATAAAGTGAACCTGTCTAATGGGCAGAGGAGGCAAAGAAGGAATGATGCTGTAAATCGAGCACAGGAAGGTGTTTGCTCCCACTTTGACCATGCTGATCGACCTTCCCAGTCCACTTTTGCATCCGATGTTTAAAAAATTGAGCGACCGGGTATAAGACACGCAATCACTTCCCCAACCTGAGTGACCCATCAATAGTCCCAAGCTTTGTCTTGTACAGGGACGTGCCTAGCGTCATGCAAATAGAGACTTCTAAAAAAAAGTCAGTATTTGCATACAGTTTCCAGTGGGTTCTGGGTGCTTGTTTGAAGAGGAGGGGGGGGGAACACAGAAAGGTAGGAGCAGGCGTCTTATGGCGCTTACCATTTAGTACGAGTTGACAAGCTCCATGCTGACAGTAAGAGAGAGCAGCGAGAGCGGACCTCATCAGTCTGCTGCTGTTCCATTTGTGTCTAGTTATGGACTGGGAGGCGGGGAGGTGACCAAGCTGTTTTGCTTCACTTCATCAGAGAAAAGTCAGGTCATAAACTTGACTGTGTAAATCTCAGGACTGGACTGATCTACAGCTCATGTGGCAGGCTGACTACCTCCCATATATGTATTCAGCTGTGGATTGAGCTCTGTACCTGGAGCTCAGCTTTAGTAAGTGATCAGTGCATATTTGCAAGCTCCAACAAGAATAAAAATAAATCCTTGATATGCTGCATGGTTTATTTTTGTGGTTAGAACTCTTATTCCTTTTTCACCCCTATTTTTAGCTGCTCCAGCCGTGCGCACTTGTCCTGAAAGCTCCATCGCAAGAGATCACACAGTCCTCCAGATGAGGTTGTCGGCGCCCAGTGATGCCCCAGCCTATCCACCTCCGTGTCTTTCTGGTGCTGATAGCGCTATACCAGGTACCTGTACATTAAATGAAGACATAAAATAATGAATGCAGCTCTGTGTTCATAAATCCATTAATATGTATTTTTAGATGCAGGCAGTGTAAGTACCTGAATTCAACTTTGTATCAGCTTCTTGTGGTCCCTGTACAGCAGAGCTCAAAGAGGGGGAGGGGAAAGCAGCACAAGGAGCCAGTCAGTTATGCTGCAGTGCAAGGATCATGCTAATAGGAGGAGAGAGCAGACAGACAGAGAGATGAGCTAATCAATGTGCTTCTGTCCAGTTACAGGCAGGGGGGGAGGGACAAGACCTGTAAGCGTTACTGAACTGCAGCAGAGCAAAGTCGGGTCTCCTCCTCTGCCTGTAAAGGACTGTGTTGTACGGCAGAGCTCATTCACACAGTCATGCTCATATGTACGGCATGCACGTTTCTGTGGGGGCACCTGGACCCACATGGATGTGCATGTTCGGGTCCGCGTGTAACCGCATGCAGCCGCATCCTTGCATAGGGAGGTACAGGCTGCTGCACACAATTACACGCAGCACTCGTCCCTCCCGAGAGCAGGTCTCTGTTTGGGCATGCACACCTGTGTGAATGAGCCCTAAATTTTAGAACTGGATAGACAGAAATACAGTGGTACCTCGGTTCACAAACTTAATTCGCTCCACGATTCTGGTCGCGAACCGAATTGGTCGTGAACCGAATCAAATTTCCCCATAAGGTTTAATGTAAATGAGGTTAATCCGTTCTGAAACCATATGTACATTTTTTTAAACACGATCTACAATTTCCTTCTTCAATTTAATGGGTATTTTCTTCAAAACCTTCTTCTTACCATTCTTGCTCTGCACTTTATTGTTACCTTCATTACCACTCTGCACTTTCTTTTTGCCACCATTCTTGCTCTGCATTTCGTGGTTACCATCATTACTGCTCTGCACATTCTTGTCACCTTCATTACCGCTCTGCACATTCTTGTCACCTTCATTACCGCTCTGCACATTCTTGTCACCTTCATTACCGATCTGCACATTCTTGTCACCTTCATTACCGCGCTGCACATTCTTGTCAACTTCTTCATTACCGCTCTGCATGTTCTTGTCACCTTCATTACCGCTCTGCACGTTCTTGTCACCTGCATTACCGCTCTGGACGTTCTTATCACCTGCATTACCACTCTGCACATTCTTGTCACCTTAATTACCGCTCTGCACTTTCTTTTGACCACCATGCTTGCTCTGCACTTTCTTTGGAGCCATGCTGGATTGAATAATACTGTACAGTACTGTATTTGCTAAAAAGCACACACAAAAAAAAGCTTTAAAGCAAGTGTGCACAGGTCTGTCTGCGACCGGGATCTCGACTAGAAGAAGCCACAACCACGTGTCAGCGCGGGGAAGATGGCCGCGTTCTTGTTCGTCACCATGTTGAGTTTGCAAACGGAAGCAACATTTTGCCAAACTTCCTGTTCGCGAACCGAATTGTTATCGGACAGAAGCGTTCGTGAACCGAGGTATTACTGTACACCTCTTTAGGCAGGTAAAGCGGCTCCCATACGAGGTATGGTAGAAGATTTATGAGATGTATCTTATAATTGAAACATGCAAATTCTTTTTCCAGGGGATCAGAAAAAGGCTTTGTATCCTTTAATTATGCAATAAGGGTTTCCATATTTAATCTGTTCTGGCATAACTGTGTATGATATGCTCGATGATGTTGTGCAGATCATTCAGTGTATTCCATATGCATTCTTGAGAGTTGTATTATTTCTTATTTATCTTGCTATACAGTATCTTCTAAGCTGCACAAAGATCAATAAAAGGTGGACTTTGCTCCAAGAAATGCATTGACTGAACAAATACATATGCCAAACGTTTCTTACATACTGTACGTCAAGAGAAGTTAGAGATGTACACTTCATTCACCTATATGCAGGATTTACTCTCTGCTGCCCCAAGGCCTAGTTCCTCAATGCGCCCCCCTACCCTCAGAGCCGGATTTACTCCACCTGCCGCCCCAAGGCCAGGTTCCACAATACGCCCCCCCCGCGCCGCTAGCCCCCCTCCCCATCAATTGAGCATGGCAACCAGATGGCAGGGCGGGGGGCGTATTGTGGAATGCACACTACGCAGCCGGTGGGCGGAGCCTCGGGCCGCCCCGTTGTGATTGGACGGCGGCGGACCGTAGTGTGCGGCCGCCGGATACCTTACACCAGCGCCCGCAACTTCCCCACAGGGTCACCGCTGCCGCCCGTTGGCGCTCTGTCGCCCCGAGGCCGGGCCTCGGTGGCCTTGTGGGAAATCCGGGCCTGCCTACCCTCCAACGCTGCCCTCCCATGGAGAATGGCAGACCTGCAGGCTGCATACAAGTGATCTCAATGACATCGCCAAGATAACTTGTACAAAACAAGCGGCGGCAGAAGTTCTGCTTTATGAGTTCTGTGCAAAGGAAGGCTGTGAGAAGAATCGGCTTTGGGTAGCACAATGGAGCTCGCCTCTTGGACACTTTCACGCATCGGTCCCCAGTGATCGATTTTCCCCGAGTCCAGCGTTTCCTGGAAATCCTCCAGCAGTTCATAGGAGGGAATGACCAGGAGAGCATGCCACATCCTCTGCTTACACAGAGCTACATATAATAACTACATGTGTTATCCAGAAAGGTAAACAAGAGTGACAGTTCACAGACAATGTCTTCTCAATGCCTAACGGGAAGTCCATAGACAGGACATTGCTAGAACAGCAAGGATAGCAATTAATAATGCTTTTCCTTTGAAAATTGTATATAATTTTTTTGATGAATTTTGTTGCTTGTCTGTGCGGTTCACTGTAAGCTCTTAGGCCGCCTTCACACCTGCGATTTAGTTTATTGCAATGACATTTTTTAAAATGGCACCCCAAGCACTACCACAATGCACCACAGCGCTCTGCAACGCACAGTAATGCACTACTGATTCATTGTTGCTTCTGAGTTCGTCCAGCAGTGGGGAACCAGTGGTGGACCTAAGGAACAAAGGGCCCTAGTGCAAGATTTTTTTCTTGGGCCCCCCTCCGGCGCGGGGGGCGGGGGAGGACTGGATCCCACTGGCCCCCCCAGCCTCGGTCTGCCACTGGTCTCTGCACCAGAGGAGCTGAAAGGAGAACTATGGGGTTAGTGCTTTTCCCCATAGTTCTCCTAAGGGTAACGGGAGGACGCAAACTAGTGTCCTCCCGTCACCCAAAGCTCAGTATACCGCAAGCTACAGCTCGCGGTATACTGAGACGCCGCAGCCGGAACGGATCCCGACAATGCTGTCTTGGTCCATGTGAGTGACAGCTGGCTCTGCCTATCTAGAGGCAGAGCCAGCTGTACCCGCCCCTCCCCTGTCCGTTCCGCCAGTCAGTGCTGGAGGATCGGACAGGGGAGGGGGAATCCCTGCAGGGAGCCGTGAGTGACAGCCACGGCTCTCTGCACGGATAGATCGAGAAATGAGCGAGCGACGGTATGTGTTCGCTCACTTCCCGATCTACTGAGCCGACCTGTGACAGTCTCATTGTCACATGTCGGCTCAGATTATGAGGCTGAGTGAAAATCACTCACCTCATAATTCTCCTTTAAACTCTGTCAACACCAGAGCACAGCTGGGATATAGTTGCCACCCCGTAGCAGGCAGTACCTGAACAAGGGCCTTCATGGCAAGATCACCAGGGATTATTTTAATAAAAGCTGCATTTTTAGAAGGATTGAAAAGAACTTAACATGGTAAAGCTTATATGTTTTTAGTGATTGGGTTTAGTTCTATTTTAGGACTGACAGGGTTATTCACAAAAGAAGACAGGAGAAGTGCACAATCTAGGACAACATAGCTGGTTTGAAACAATTCTCAGATTCGGCTCACTTTCAAGTTCAGGGATGTTGTCCTAGATTGTTCACTTCTCCAAACTTTCACCCTTTTGTGAATAACCCTGCTAGAATTTAGATCCATGCATAGACTCACCATTGACAGGTGCTCCTTAAGTTCCACTTTCTTCAAGTTCTCCTCAATTGTGGTTGCTGCCTGGTTTTCTTCTGGTGAAAAAAGATCTGGTACATCAGCTGACTGTCATTTAGGAAGCAATAATACTTAGGGACAATTATTAGTCTTCACATAACACTACTCTTCTCTGTGTCTGTGACTTGATTTTCATATCTGCTCCGGTCAGGCTGCCTCTGCTCAGATCTCATACAGTTTCGTGTATGACAGCTGGAAGAAGTACGAGATGGAGTGCAAGGAGAAAATGTTGAAGGACCCACTTCCATCAGGTGAAAGCTATAGTCTTATTTCATCATAAACACCAATTATAAACTGTATGTTTTGTTAGATTTAAAGATTTCTGTAATCTATAGACAGACAGACCTAGAGGAATAAAGTTTACAGACTACATGACTTGAGGGGCTACATGACTGGAGGGGCTACATGACTGGAGGGGCTACATGACTGGAGGGGCTACATGACTGGAGGGGCTACATGACTCAGGGGAAGAATAGTCCCAAGAAAGCTATACTAAGAGCACAATGTAGGTGCAAGAGGCCTTACTTGATTGGAGGTTGACGGCCAAGTGGTTGGGGGGAGTCACAAGTTCAAGTGTGATGATTTCTGGAAGCATGGACAAGAGGAGAAAGTTGTCCCACCCGCTCTCCATTATTTTATATGCATCAACTAGATAAGAATATAGGAAGATTTGTCACAGCAGCTTGATGGGTTGATTGTCAGTGGAGTAGTGGGATATTTTCAAAATGTGGGGACCATCTGTTGGTATGGTGCTTCCCATTTTGATAGCGGTCAACTTCCCTTGGGAAGGCAAACAGTAGTCTTTTTGTAGTGGTCCTTGAGCTGGTGGGGCGCGGGTTGGATAATAGTGTAGTCTTTAGGCTAGTGGACACTAAAGACCCCACTTAGAATCCAATGGTTCTCCTTTTATTTGTGTTGGTCATTTATCAAATTGCTGTTTCATTGTGCTATGCTGTTGGCCATTTAAAATACATGACGCACAGTCTATGTGTTTATACATGTTTGGGGGAGTCTTTGCATGAAATTGACAAATCCAGCAGTCATGCAGATTACAGGATTCAAAAGACTAAGTCCCTTCCAGGCCAGACCAGACCAGAAAAATACTGCATGTCTCATTTTGTCTGGTCTGGAATGCATTGGTACTGCGGGCAGGTTCACACCATTTTCCGGACCAGATCTGGACTGTGTATTCCAAAAACTGTGCATTCCAAACTCAATCTCCGGCTTACAAACATTTACTAGATCCTCAGGTCAATGATGCTGTCACTTCTCTAATGCTTTTAAGATGACGTTCTGAAGGTCTCCTTACAAAGATTTATCTATAATTGGTGAATTATATTTGCAGGACTGGTCTGTAACCGGACGTTTGATCATTTTGCCTGTTGGCCCGATTCCCAGCCCAACACGACAATCAATGTCTCATGCCCATGGTACCTACCCTGGTATAATAAAGGTAAACTACTTTCATCATATTGGTTGTGTGTTGTTAATTTTTACTCCGTTTTAGCTTTCTTGGGCAGCATTGTTCAGCAATTTTAGGTTAAGCCATCCCCATTTATTTTCTTTTTAAGCATATATATATACTTTTTATGGATCTCTCTTCAGTCTCTTGCTCTACAGTGGGGGGTGCTCTATGATGCAGAAAATGGTGCCATGTAATGACACAGGTGATTTTCTCTGAACCTTTCTTTTGTGCCCCCAGGGCAGCGCCAGGAGATGTGTCCTTGACCCCCTGGGTTTGCGGGAAGTGGGTTGAGTGACAATGGCTGTCACTTAATCTATGAGAGGTGCAGCAACCAGGCCTGGGGTGAAGCACTGGAGCATGGATAGGATATGAACCTGTGATTTGTCCATGAGGGCCAAAGAAACACGTTTGCATTAAAGCCCAACTCTGGGCACAATAATTTGACTCTAATATTATTTGTATATAGCAGTCTGAAAAGCTTTTCCCCTAGCAGTAAAATGATCTTGCCCAGATTTGGGTTTTCTTACCCATCCTCCTACTGGCACATACTTACCTTTCCATTGCTCCCCCAATGATAAATTAATTGCCAGGACTGACAAGAATTAGCCAGTCCTTCTAGATATCGGGATCATGTGACTCGCTTCTTCCTATGTGAAAGTGCTAGTGATTGTCCCAGCTTTGTCACATGAGAGCCAGTTAGGAGTCCCATATAAGCCAATCAGAGCTTATGCCAGCAACTATAAGATGCGCCAGAGGCCGGCTTTAAAATCAGCCGGTTGCTTTTCCCTGCATGTTCAAAGCACAGCTTCCCTTTAAAGGATTAGTCCACCGTTAACTCAAATTTCACTTTTGGACAGATGCTGGCAAATCACATTTCCCACTAGCTTCATATATATCTCCTGTGGACCCTGGTGAAGAGATTTCCCCACTGACATTTCAATAGTATGGGTTCAAAGCTCCACTTATCCACTTCTCTAGGTCCCAGCTCCTCCTTCTTGCTATAGCTGCAGATGCAAGAAACTTTCACTTGACAAGGCTTCTCTTGTAACCAGAGTAATGAGATTCCACAGGTGGAATCCTCCGTGTGGAGCACCACAAAAGGTCTGAGTAGCTAGTTGATGACATGGCTCATCAGCATCTTTTAATAACTAAAATATCAGTACTGGGTGGACTACACTCCTAATTGCTTCCGTACAATAACAAGTGTGTCCCTTCTTAGTGCAGCATGGCTTCGTGTACAAGGACTGTGGTCCCGATGGGCAATGGGTGGAGTCATTGAACGGTCCTGCTCCGCGCGATGCCGAGGAATGCCAACGTGACAAGGCGGACGTGGAAGCTGAGGTAATTATATTTCATATATCTGTGGAACCTAATGGGGGATAAGCAACTGGCTGCCAAACCGATAGGCCACCAGAGCTCAACGGCCCCTAGTATCACAGTGTCAGCTACATGTGTGCATTAGCAGGGCATTATGGAAAAGAACCATGGCTGTTTTAAAATTATGACTTCCACCAGGGAAGTGACATGACCACAAAATGTCAGCTCCAAGTTAACATGGAGATTACAAGGAAAAATGAGACACCACCAAAGACCCGGGGATAGTGGGAAGGTCCAGTTGGACAGCTTTCTATTGGCTGCTGAGGCATCCTATTGAATAGTTTAAGAGCGGGATCCACAAATATTTTTCTGTGGTGTTGCCTGGCTACCAGAAGAGACCTGATCAGTGCTTACCATAATTTTCCTTACCTAACAATTGCAGCATATGCCGTATATATTATGGGTATGCTGCCATATAGGCCCCAAGAAACAGGAGTATTAGGGCCTGTAAAAGTCACCATACACATTGCGTGCAAACAAACGCTTGATGGCCAACAATCATTTGTAAAAACTCAAGTGGCCCTCGGGGCATTTGTGCTCTATCCTCCATTACCAGCACTTTCTCAGATCTATGGCACATGAGATAGGAATACTGTTGCTTATTTAGCACACGTAATCTGGAACACATAACTGTAAAAACATTAGACGCCCTCGTCGAGCCCAATGACATCATCGACTGGTGTCAGACTCTCTTGAAGAACGATTGTTGGTGCTGGGCTGTGCAGACTGCCAGGGCCTCGTGGCAATTGTAGCCCCAATTTCTGATAAGGTGCCTGTCTCCCGAGTCTCATTGTTCCCTCCTCTGGCAGTTCCTGATGGGTGGTGGGATTTGTGCCAGTGAAATTCCTCAGCCCATTCCCACCCGTGGGTCTCTGGTTTTGGCCCTTCTGCTGCCAAAGCTGTAAGCGTTTGAGTTGTTACTTCCTGCCGCTGTCGCTGCAGAAGACACAGCTATAAACAAGCCATTCATTAGAATTCCTGGCTGTGTACATTTCAGATTGCGGTTTATATACAGGTATGCCAAAGCCGGAGCTTTTATGGAACAACTGGGCTTATTTAAAGTCATTTTCGGCTTCAATACATTAATCAGCGGGGACCTGTCAGGATAGAAACATGGAAGTGGTTATTCCTGCCTTGTATTCAAAGCTGAACTCTGCGTAGGTATACAAGATACTGTATTTATTAAAGCTGCACTCCAGGCAAAAAAAGCTAAACTTTTCCTCAAACTAAACAGTGACTGGACAGTGAAAGGAGAAGCAGCAAACCGATGAGCGCATCTCTTTGCCACTCATACCTTCTTATATTGCGACACACCTGACTGGTTCCATGCTCTGCTTCTCCCTCCCCATCATGTCTCTGCTTCTGGGAGTCTTCCCTGTGGCAGAGTCATGGGACTTGTAGTTCCACAACAGCCGGAGTGCCGAGGTTGCCTACCCCTGTAATAATGTATTAATAAATACATATCTGCATTATATCTGCAGTTTTGCTTTAATACAACATTTTGTTTCTTTAATGCAAGCAGTGTAGGTATCGGAATTTGATTTGGTTTCGGCTTCTCGTAAGCTACCATAAAGCAGAGCTCACACAGGGGAAGGTAGAAGCAGCACAAGGAGCCAATCAGTTGTGCCGCAGTGCAAGAAGCATGCTAATAGGAGGAAATAGCAGGGGGACAGAGAGATGAGCTCATCAGTCTGCTGCTACTCATTTCACTGTCCAGCCACAGGCTGGGGGAGGGACAAGACCTGTAAGTGTTACTGAACTGCAGCAGAGAAAAATCAGGTCTCCTCCCCGCCAGACAAGGCTGTTCTGTGGGGTTGGGCTGTATAAATCTCCGGACTGGATGATATATAAATCCTTTGGCAGGTAAATCATCTCCTTTCTATGTATTTAATGTGTGTGTTTTGCTATTTGCCTGAAGATTGGCTATCAAGGTGCAGACCCCGGGGCCACCATTTTCATCCCACTCCGCCACCCATGAATCTAATCTTCGCCTTCTATAGCAGCTGAAGAATTTTCAGCATCTGACACTGTCAGGATGTGTCAGTTGCCTGTACTGCAGTCCACCCAGCGTCACTACAGCTCTGGAGTGGAGTAACGGGCGGCGGGTGGAACCGCAGCATGAGATACAGGCATCTGATATGCCAGGATGCTGATGGATCTGTAGGGGGTGGAGCTCTAGAAAAGTGTGGAAAGACATAGACAGCAACAAAAAGAAAAAGCTGAAACCCCGGTCCTATTTTGATTTCTGTCCCTGTTGCAGATTTTTCCCTTACGTCTTGTCTAGTGAACCCGTTGTCAGCAGGACAGGAAGTGAGGTATCTGGGCCCTGTCACTCAAAAACCCCCCAGGAGTTTGAATCCCTCCCCACTCTATCCAAAAATTACAAAAACAGTTCATGGCTTGACCCAACTTTACCCAAATCTTCAAAATAACAACAAAGACACCTTTAGAAATGTTTAGTAATGGCAATCTACAAACACATACTTCTAGATAATTATGTATTTGTATTCTTTGCATAACTTATTTCCCTTTTCGTCCCCAGTCTTCTGACACAGTGGCCATTTTAACTAAGGGCAGATGAATCCATCTCCCTTTACTTCCCGGAACTCTGGTACATGTGACTAGGACATGTAACCATGCACATCATCTCAGGGGAGGAAAATGCCTTTCCCTGAGATCTCATGAGATTACAGATGAGATTTTCCAGCAATGTTTTGCTGATGTAACCTTCCAAGGATTCAATGCTTGGGCACATATTGCATCATTTGTGCCAAAGTGGACCAGGAAGTGGAAAAAAAGAAATTGCACGTAAAATAAAAATATGTGTTTAGCTGATGAATGTAATATGATTTCATATCAGAATGTAGAGCTGTATGATGGGATTTTTTAGTAAAAGGGGGTAAAGGTCCCATTTAAATTTATAAACTCATAGGTAATGGTAAGCTGCTGGCAGCACAAATAGATTTGATATATGTGGATCTGTATCTTTCATCAGACTCTATAATGCATCTGGATATTTGATAGGAGAAGAGTCATCTGTGATTTGTTTTTTTTTACATTTACAGAAGCACTTTATCAAGACCTTCGAAAGATTTCAGATCATGTACACCATAGGATTTTCCATGTCTGTAGCAGCACTGATACTGGCTCTCGGTATCCTTGTCGCATTGAGGTATTTTATGGATTCTGCTTATGTCAGGGAAATTGTTTCCATATCCTTATTGCTTTTTCCGTGCCTCTTATACTCATTATCTATAGTCTGTAATACATACCTAAATCCCGTCTGCTGACCTCAGTCTGTTTTAAAGAAAATCCACTTTATTCAGTAAACCAGTAGCACAGAGGAATGATTATGTGCAGGAAGCCATAGATCAATCAGAAATAATCTCATAATACATTCTGGAATCTGATTGGTTGGCAGAGGTTACTGCACTTTCTATGCCATCCATTGCTCTTGCACAAAGCATTCCTCATAAATCGTAAATGGTTTAAAGGGAACCTGTGCCCAGAGCATGCACACAAACGTTTTAACATATTGTTAACAAGCAGTTAAAGCACCATAAGGACCCATTAACACCAACCGGGGTGTGGTGCCCGGCAGAGGGCTGATGCACCGATCCCAGGACATCACACCGCTGCCGCCGTCTTCACCGCTGCCGCCCGCAGTGTCTTTTGCGGCAGCGGTGAATAGAAGATGTAGCGCTGCGGGGGTGTGGCCTGTCAAGGGGTGACGGCCGTGACACTTGTCAGGGAACTCCAATTCCCAGCAGGCAACTGAGGAGGGAGCAGCCGAGCAGGCCCGGCGGGATACACGCCACGCTGTAGGACGTCCTGGCTTGAGCTGGACCCTGGAGGCACAGAGTTCGGGAGCTCAGCTCACAGCACAGAGTGAGGAGATTCTGGAGGAGAGCTGCAGCAGGTCCAGGTAGGCACTGATTGTTCATTGCTGTATATGTGCTGAGTAGTGACATTGTCTTTATCAATGAACAGGAATCCTCTATACTGAGTGTTCCTGTCCATTCATAACATGAGGACATTGAGTATGATTACTATAACCACAATCATGAATGAACAGGAAGTGATGTAGATTACTTCCCATTCATCCATAATTGAGGATATAGTAACCATACTCTGTCCTCAATTATCTACACTCAGCGATCACTTATCAGTGACTGCTTGTACCCCGCTCTCCCCTCTGACACACAAAAAAAAACCCTTTCAAACCGGTTTGAAACAAAATCATGGGGTTTTTTTTGGGGGGGGGGGCCTTAATGGTTTCTTGCACCGGGGCCCTGAGGTGTCTAGTTACGCCTCTGCATTTCATTAAGCTCTATGAGCACAGCCTGGTGCGAGGCGGTTGTACCACATTCCATCCCGATGCGCTGAAAAAAGTACTGCATGCAATACCTTTTTTTCAGCCCACAGTGCGAGGTGTGCCCATCTGTGACCTGGCCAATTGCCTTGTCTTGCGTTACGGCTGCACTGGAAAAAACGGCCAATGCACCTGGTGTGAAATCTGGCCATTCATAATAGGAAACATGGTCACATCACAGAGGTAACATGTAGAACCTACATTATAAGTAATGCCCCTTGATACTGGTTTCACCTTGGTATTACCTAATAGCGAAACTTATTTTTTTTGATTTGGTGAAAAATTAGAACCTCTGCCAGGTTTTAATTGCTGTCTGTGTCCTGTTAAGGTGCCCATACACTTTACAACCCTCGCAAGACTTTTGTCTTGCGAGGGTTGTAAAGTAATAAAAAAAAACGTACGATCTGCCCATCTTGGACAGGCAGATCGTACTTGCGATCATCGCAAGCCGCCCCCCTGAGGGGTGGGCTTGAGATGACTGCAATGAGGAGCGGGCTTCCGATGACTGCAAACGGGCAGTGTGCGCGTGCGCACACCGGCCCGTTCGGCATTTGTCGAACAAGCAGGCCACTAACTTGCCGAGAATTGTGCGATTCCTGGCGGGTTTTCCAGCCTGCTTGTTCGATGGAAGACGTGCGACCGCACAGTAGAAACGGTTGCACGCCTTCCATACACTTTGCGATTATCGTACGATCGCGGGATTTCCCGCGATTCTCGTACGATAATCGTGCAGTGTATGGGCACCTTTTAGGGAGATTCATGCTCTCTAATTATCCTGATCTCCAATGTCATGGGGAATGAAAGTGAGCGTAAATCCAAAATTTTGAGTTGCCACCTGGACAGGAATAGAGGGGGAATTTGCCAATAGTGACTCTTGTTCAAGTGACGGCTGTCTAAGATGAGATTTCCATCACATTGGAAAGATATGCTCTCACTTCCTGCTGAGCCTACAGTACAGGGGAATTACCTTATTGAGACACAGATGGGAAAAAACCTGACCGCTCTTTTAACCCTTCCCCACTCTATCCATAATGGGGGGGGGGATTTTTTGGCTTTGGACCAAAATGAAAGATCCGCTTATTACACAGACCCACCCCCTCAAATCACCCCATTAAAGATTTTAAAAAAAGGCACATCAGTGGGGGAAAAAGTTTGACAATATACATTCCTTACCCCCAAGATTTCAAACTGGAGAAGGCGACGTCACAAACCTTCAGATGAGATCTTTGGGATCACCAAGAGGCTGATATGTATACATGTTCTGCCCACACTAAATGGATTCGAGGAGCATAGGAAATTCTATGTTTTTCGGGATGCAGGCTGTGCTGTAGATAGATCTTGCATTTTATTGCAAGGTTCTCATTGAAGGTTCGACTTCTGGGTTTAGCACTAGGCACCGGCTGTGCCCAAAAGAAAAAGCACCCTCGTGGCCCATAAAGGCACTTTCACACTTTCATTGGAATGGGCTTAACTCCAGACTCAGAGACCTTTAACCCTTATTGAACAGGATCAGAGGGATGCAAAAGCGATAGCAACCTGGGCTCACAGTACTCCTGGCCAGCACATTGCTTACATGGCATTATGTGGCCACTGTGTTGTCCAAGAGGAACCACCACAGGAGGAGGAGAGGTATGGCCTGTGACATTATGTTGCCCATTCCAGCCCTGAATTCTCAAAGTGAAAGTTTAAGTGTTGGAAGATGAGGGACACATGTGCTTTCAAACTAGTTAACTATGTCACTATGTTGTTTGTTGCAGTAAACTTCACTGCATGAGGAATTACATCCACATCAACCTGTTCATCTCCTTCATCCTGCGGGGAGTCTCTGTACTTGTGAGTGACACCTTGCTGAAGACTAGCTACAATACAGATTTTGAACACCAGCAAGTAGAGCTCAGCAATGCGGTGAGAAGGTCACGGGACTACACCGGATAATTATTAACAAGCTTTCTCCTACTTGCTTTGATGTCTGTCCCAAATGGAATAAATTGTAAAGGATAGAGAGCAGCAAAACATTGGGAGCCCAAGTAAATGTTTAAGAAAACAAGCCGCAGGAGTTCTAATAGGCCCCCCCTTTATCAGGGCTTAAAAAAACAAACCTATGAAAAAAACCAATATATCGGTAGAATGCAATTTTACAATGTAATTAACCTTTCCCAACCGGTGTTCCATGGAACACTAGGGTTCCTCCAAAGGTCCTAGTGCTGGGGTGGGAAATTTGTTTTCTCAAAGGGCCATATGAGAAACTGGGACTGTTGTGGAGGGCCGAACCAATAGGCTGAACTTAATTCTGCTCAGTATTGATTTTATCCTTTTATAAAAAGCAGTACATTATAAGGTTTTGATAACGCCCCCATTAGAGTCCCCCTTCCATTGTTTGTCCCCTTTAGGGTGTCCCTTTATATCATTGTCCCTACATACCTTAGTTTGCTACTTTATTGTTAGGCCGGAGGCGGAAGCAGGCTGCAGGAGAGGATGTAAGAAGTTACTCTTGTGTCCTTCGGTAATGCTAGAGGCGGTGAACACATCTGACGCCACAGGTTGCTAGGACCCAATGACTCCAGAGGAGGTAGACACCTGACATTATTTGCTTGGACGCCAGTGTTCTAGGAACCATGACTAAAGAGAAGGGGGGCCTGCGCTGGCCTATGGCTGGCAGTGGAGGCACCTGCCTCGGACCGAGTGCAGGCCAGTGATCGGGGTCCGGACCGTGGGCCAGACAGGGACAGCAAAGGGCCGGATGTGGCTTGGGGGCCATAAAATGCCTAGGTCTGTTCTAGGGGGTTACCTGAGCAATTTCTGACTCTCATTATCCACTGATGCCAATTATCTTTTTACCTATGTGTAAGGAGAACATTTTTCCAGCTAGTGCAATCAGTTCCTTCTCCCAATCACCACCAGTAGAAGGTGACCTTTCTCTTAGTGACAATCAATGTAGTGAGTTCCTTCTCCACCGCCAACCAGGGCAAAGGGGCACTTCATCACGAACAAGTGTAAGGGGGCTTTTTTTTCGTATCAAAGTGTAAGGGTGTACCTCTACCCTTCATGGACAACAATAAAGGTGCACGTCCCCCCTTCATGGTTGTAAGGGGACATCTCCCCCCTGATCATCAATGTAAGAGGGTTCCATGCTGACCACTAAAGTAATGGGCCTTAGACTAACCACCAATATAAGAAGGCATTTCTCCATTAAACACCATTGTAAAGGAACACTACAATTTTCACTGTCTGCATTACTTTTCCGGCCATAGAGATCAGCTTTGTTATAATTACTGAAAATTGTTTTGTCGTATAGAGTAGCTTTAGGTTTTACATACGCCAAGTATGTCACATACCTTATACTTATATTCACTATCGTTTCTCAACTTACTGATCTAATGAAGAGGGCCTTTCAGTACCACCGGGACATGTTGGCTTGTTTTAATACATTTACTTGGACTCTAATCTGAGCAATACCTCGTAGCTTTACTTTAGTTCAGCATGTGGGCTATATAAACTCCTTAAAGCCCATCTCCGGGCCCCACTGCAGGTGTTAAGTGCTTCTTTTTGTCTAGGGGCTGAAGTAAACCAAATTTGCTTCCCTGATCCTTGCAGCTGCAGCTAGACCAGTGCCCGAAGCCTCTTCCTCCCTGGGCATGGTGGGGTCGGCGGGGGGCTGCTGAAGTTATCACGTCTAATGCAAGTTCCATAGAACTGCATTAGACGTGAGGACACCAAAGGACAGTCCATAGCTAGAGAAGTGGAGAGCGCTGACCTCTGGAGGAGTGTGGAAACACGTGAGTATATCTACTTTATTCCAGTCTCTAGACATAAATGTGCACTTAACCCTTGCAGTGTGAGGGTAGCTCTTCTGCAAGAGTAGATTTTTGGTTTGCCCAGGATAGGCTTTAAAGACATCTCTTCAAATCTCTAAAAGGGGCCTTAGGTAAATTTCTCCTCACTTCTTGTCCAGGTAAATTCTCCACTTTTCCTGTCTAGGTGATACATAACAGAGGAAGTAAAGGGGAATCTCCCCCCAAGACAGCAATAAAAGCCTGACAGAAGTCGTATCTCTTCCCAGCTTTGCTAAAACAAAATGTTTAATTGCTGCATTTGCCCCCCTATTAAGGAGATTTCCCTCACTTTCTGTGATCCCATCCATTAAATGGACTGGAAGTGTCTTCCAGTGGGGGCATGACCCATGTCCCAAAAGTTGACAGAGGCTTTATTACTGCTGCATTCTATCCAAAATGGGTTTGGACTTTTAGAGTTTTGTAATGTTTATTAATGTATATCTAAAACTAAAAAGATTTCCCTTCTACTCTTGTTCTGGTGGCAACTCAGAATTGTTAAATTCCTCATCAATTTAATTTCTGGTGACTCTTGTGATCAGGACAATTAGAGGAGGGGTAAAACTCCCTAACAAGGACACATACAGCAATACAGAGCTGATAGGGGTTCTTCTAACCCCTCACCACTCTATCCAAAACTAAAAAAAAAACAAAACAGGAAATGTGGAGTCAAGAATTATGAAAACGGGAGCAAAGAGCAGGGACACTGTGGCAAAATCTGTCTCATTTTTCTGTTAAAATATAACAAAATACAAATGGGAGCGCGTCTAGGAGTACAGTACTGCTAGCAAATGAGCCAATGTATAAGGCAAAACACACCCACCTTGTGTAATTGTTGAGAGGCTCTATATAGTGCAAACAGCTGAAAGGCATTCACAGAATCCCATGTAGCGTGCATTCACAGAATCCCATGTACCGTGCATTCACAGAATCCCATGTAGCGTGCATTCCCAGAATCCCATGTAGTGTGCATTCCCAGAATCCCATGTAGCGTGCATTGATAGAGTGCCGGGTGTATTCTCAGAATCCCATATGTAGTCACAGAATCCTGTGCATTCACAAAATACCGTACATTGTCCATTCACAGAATCCCATGTCCATTCACAGAATCCTGTGCAGCGCATTACAGAATACCATGTGCATTCACAGAATCCCGTACAGTGTGTAGTCACAGAATCCCATGTGCATTCATAGAATCCCGTGCAGTGTGTAGTCACAGAATCCCGGGCAGTGCGCATTCACAGAATCCCATGTGCATTCCCAGAATCCTGTGCAGTGTGGTCAGGAGGAGGACTCTGATAACAGTAGATGGGATAGGATGTGAGTACAAAGAGATAACTCTCCACACTCTGCACTATAAACTGCTTTGATTTGTGTTACACTGCATGCCTGAGGAAAAACTGTTAAACTACTTAAAAACGCATTGCATAATAAATCTTCAGTACGATATGCACTTCACCGTGCGACTTTTGTAAGAGCCCAGGCGAGGAATTTCAGAGATCTATCTCTTTGTATTGCAGTGCACCCCATCTACTGTTATAGGAGTCATCCTACTGTCGGCCCCCTGAGCCACCCTGCATGCGGTTTGCACTATATAGCGGGCCCAATAAAGGGTTGAATATGGATGCAAACTGTTGCATGCAGCACCTTTTGTTGGTGCACACCATCTCCAATACCCTAAGTTTTGACTTTTTTGTACAATCGGTTTTATGGCGCACTTCTGACCAATTAATTTAAAGAAACATAACCTATTAATTTTACATCTAACAATTGAATCCCTTTGATTTAAATCGAAGGGATTCAATTGGCGCATCAGCAAAATAAGCTTTGCCTGCACCAGGGATTTGACTTTGGTGATTTGACTCATGGACAGTAGTTTATCAGGCCTAAGGTGAGCATTTTGAGCCTTACGCATTGGCTCATTTGCTATCTATGGCGTTGATGTATACCCAGACTTTTTTTTTGGAGGAGCAGCTCCGCCATTTGCAGGAATGAACAACTGAATGGAACCTTATTTTATAAAGACTCGCATTAAAGTTCACCTCCCCTAATACAAGGGGTATCCAGGATTGTTAAGCTAGAACAGGTCTCTTGGTAGTACTATGGAAGCGCAAGTAGAAAGTCACATCAAAACGTTATATTTAAAATATTTGATTTTTCGGTGCTTTGGCCTGCAATTTTTTTAATGTGGTGGCAGGGTCTCTTTAAAATGCATCCCTTTAATTTCTGCCTCCCTCCTGTGTGATCTTGCAGACTGGATGCCGCGTTGCCAGTGTGTTAATGCAATATGCAGTTATTTCCAATTACTACTGGCTCCTGGTGGAGGGGATCTACCTGCACAATCTTCTGGTGTTGGTTGGGTTTTCGGAAAGGAGTTACTTTACGCTGTACTTGTGTATTGGATGGGGTGAGTACACACATTGAGTGGTTAAAGGACCACCTCACATTAATGGCACCATTTGTCAGGAACTGGCAGTTTTAATGAGGAAGTATGACGCTTGCACACGTGTTGTTAATATCTGGTGCATTTGGGACACCTTTTGGCAGCTCTCTATCCAGGAGGTCCACCATGTTCATTCAATCATCCTCCAGCATGTCCATTGAGACTTCACATGTTAAGGTGCATGGATCAACCATTGTCTGGGTTTATGATACATCGCCTTACCGGAATATATACGGATTACAATATATTAATATTAATATAATATTTAATGTCGATAAATGCAAAGTAATGCACTTTGGAATTAAAAATAAACAAATGGGTTATACAATTATGGGTATGCCGCTAGGGAAGTCAGAAATGGAGAAGGATTTGGGGGTCATTGTAGACCACAAACTGAAAGGTAGTTTGCAGTGCCAGGCTGCTGTAAACAAAGCTAGCAGGGTCTTGTCCTGTATTAAAAAGGGGATGTATTGCAGGGACAAGTCTATAATTTTGCCACTTTATAGATCATTGGTTCGACCTCATCTGGAGTACGCGGTCCAGTTCTGGTCACCAGTACTAAGAAAAGATGTCCTTGAGTTGGAAAAAGTCCAGCGGAGGGCAACCAAACTAATTAGGGGTATGGAGGACCAGAGCTACGAGACGAGGCTACTAAATTTAAACATGTTCACATTGGAGGTGAGGAGATTAAGGGGGGATATGATCTCCATGTACAAAATGTTCAATGGTGGCAGCAACATTAGCGATAAACTGTTTAAAATTAACTCCATTACAAAAACTAGAGGCCACCACCTAAAATTGGTGGAAAAAAAATTCCAGCACAAGGGGCGAAGGGGGTTCTTCACAGTAAGATCAGTTAGGGTCTGGAACTCACTGCCACAGACAGTGATTTCAGCAAAGAATGTGGAATTGTTCAAGAAACTTTTGGACGATTTCTTAAGGGACCGTAATATACAAGGGTACGGGTACTCCTAGAATGAGATCCTAATAGGTTGGACTTGATGGACTAATGTCTTTATTCAACCTCAAATACTATGTAACTATGTAACTATGTAATATCATACTGGATTTTCGTGTTCATCTGTGGTGCACTTGTATGGTATTCAGATTTCAGTTCAGTTGTCAAGACTGCCTGAACTGATGCCATCAGATGTATCAAGAATATCAGTGCAAACTGGTGAAAAGATAATTGGAAGTAACCTTACTTGAAAGGGAAATTCCACTTTTACAAAATAAATAAATACATGCACACTTATTCATAAAAAAAAAAACAAAAAGGCACATTTATTATTTTTTTGTGCATAGGAATCAGTAAAGCATTGTAATCATGATCAGTGGATGGCCGATGCGATGCTCTGGCTCTTGCAGACTCTTCCTGCCATCCATGGAAGGATGACGGACGTCCAGGAACAATGAATGGACTACAAGTGCGGTGATGTCACCACACCTGTATTCCATTGAAACTGCAAGTCCCTATGCTTGTAGTTTCTCCATTCACAAATCCTTTCAAAGAAGGATTCAAAAATGTAAACAAGCCTGCAGGGAGAAGTACCCCATGATTCATTCTGACGGCAGCAGCTGTCGGAATACTAAAAGAAAAAACAAGCAGATAGCATGGGAAGCCATAGCTTTGCTATCTGCCATCATTTTAGGGGGGGGGGGGGGGGGTCG